TGTGTGTGTGTGTGTGTGTGTGTGTGTGTGTGTGTGTGTGTGTGTGTGTGTGTGTGTGTGTGTAGCATATGGGGTGGCAAAGGGAAGAGAAAGGGTCAAGAAACAACACCAAAGCTAAGGGGCTCACAAGGCCTCTCTTAGGACGAGGCTGAGGTCCATGCCAAGAGCTTCTGCCCATACTCTTCTCACACCTTTGATGTGCCAAAGGGTATCACAGATCTCCATCTGCCCAGGCTGGCTAGAGGACTCTCACCAGCGGGCTAGGCCAAGAGCAGCCAAGGTCTGCATGTCAGGAAGAACCCATACAGTCAACATAGTCTAGAGGCAGCTTCCACTTCTGCTGTAGCAAGTATGCAGATCTGGGACTCCCACACTACTGTATTTGCACCTATGGGTTGAAGCATCCACGTCTCACCTGATCCCCTCTGTTCCTTGAGACCATTTCCTGCTGTTCATACTTCCTGCTGGGAGGGGCAGAGGGAAAAGCTGGATCCCAGCCCAATGAAGACCCTCCTCTTCTCAGGACACTCCCGGGAACAATGAGAGGTCCTGAGACAGGCTCTAGGAGGCAGTCTCCCACCTCATCTGTGGGGCAGGCTCCCTGTCTTGTTCCAGATAACGCTGTTCCCGGAGGGTGGCCTCACGTAGCTCGCGCTCCCTCCGTTCCTCCTCCAGCCGCTGCCGCTCCTCCTCTGCCCGCTGCTTCTCCTCCAGTCTGCGGTTCTCCTCTTCCTTCTGCAGAGAGAACCACGCCCACCCCTCCCTGCTCATGCCCAGCTCCTGTACTGTCTAGCAAGTTGGACTCTGTCCTCTTAGCCCATTCCTACCCAGGCCAGGGTCAGCAACTCTTTCCTTCTGAATGGACACAATTCATTCTAGATATCACTGCAAGGTACCCTTTGAGAGGCTGCAGCCTGATCAGGGCATGGTCAGGTTTGAGCTTGAAAGCTCACTAGTCTTGTCACTTAACCCCTCTAAGTCTCAGTTTACCATCTATAAAACTGGTTACCATTAGGTACTAACAAAAGCATTTGCCGGATGAGCGTACTGTGAGAAACATGAGGTACAGCAAGTAAAACACTATTGCATGCCTGGCATACTCACACCCCAGGGAACACTCACCTCCGCTTTGGCCCAGAAGCTGTCTTTGCCTACCCTTTTGATCTCAGATACAGCATTGGTCTTCTGGTACACAGAGCCCTGCAGGACAGAGAATTCACTATGGATTGTAAAGCGCAGGCAAGAACAGCTAGCAAAGGTAAAGCCAAAGGTGTCAAGAAACTAACACCGAGATGTCACCTGGAAATCACCAGGTGAGAAAGCCTAGCCTCAGACAATATTGCAAGGGTCTCTGGTTACACCAGGCACCTGTGGTGGAATCCAGGGCAGGAAAGGTCTGCCTGAGATTCCTGAAAACTTCTGTCCAAGGACCGATCTGAGGGGCTGGTCCACCACCCCCAGACAACTCACCAGTACGGCAGTATTCATGCATTTCTATAGACTCCAATTGTTCATCAGAGGACTCATTTCTCTACATCACATTAGCATAAACACAAGCTAGCAGGGATGGACCCTGACTACCACTTCAAGTTCCTCCATCTGGGGCAACACAGGACACATTGGTGCTATGGGCTCTAAATTCTCTGCCTGCCAATAATTTATCATGCAGAGCTGGCCTAAGAGGCACCAGGCAGGTTTGAAGGTGACTCATTATGCCCACTAGCATGTGCCTCATCAGGATGCAGCTCCTGTTCCTGCCAGGCACAAGGTCATCTTCAACATCTCAATTCAGTTCAAGAACTAAAAGCCAGGAAGGTGGGTAAGATGCCAACAGCAGGTTCAGATCGTCTGAATGCTGGCAACTACACTCTCCTGCCCCACTGTTGTGAGGCCCAAGCAGCACTTACCACAGGGGCCTGGGGGCCTGTGTCCTGGAAGCAGCTGCTCTCCCTGTGGAAAGTGTAGTTGGCACCTGAGGCTCTGGCCACCTTCTGCATGATGCACTCAGGCTCTACATCCTCCTCAGCCCTTGCGTTGATGGTCACATGAGCCCCCTGCAGTAGGAATATCACCTAATGGAAGACACTGCAACCCCAGAAGGGGACAAGCTGCAAACTACAATCTGCTCCTCACAACACCACTGCACAGGACATGGGTTAGGAACAGAGGCACATTCTTTGTATGGGCTCAGACAAACCAACTTGAGATAAACCCCTTTTATGTGTTCTAGTTCATGTAGAAGGCCCTAGTTCTCCATGGTGCAGCCTGTGCTTTGTTCTGTGGTGCTGTCTGGTCTCTGCTGCAGTTCAGTACAGACTGGCAGTAAAGGGCTTCGTCTTTTTTTAAAAGATTCATTTATTTATTCATACAGAACTGGGGTACAAGCCAGAGGTGCAGGGACAGTGAGAGGATTCACCATAGAGTGGGGAACAGAACAGGCAGATGGATGAAGTACACGACTGAGGGGGCAGATGGATGAAGTACACTACTGAGAGGAGCAGCTAGTGAGACAAGAGAGGTATGCTGCACCATGTGGATCATCTCTGGGGCAGGGAATTGAACTTGCACTAAAGCAGCTGCAACTGCAGCTGCAGCTGCAGCTAGCTTCACAGTGCTGTACTTTAACCCACTGCACCACTAGTGAGGGCCAAGGCCTTCTTTTCTGATCAATGAAAATTAACCTTAGGGATATATGCAAGCCAACATATTTTCTAGAGAAAGCAAGGTTTGACTTCCTGAAAAGTCAAACCTGTAACATCCCTCACTGTTTACTAAATACCCAGTAGACTTATGATCGTGAGTTGGGAAAAACAGGTGCAACTGAAGAAAAGCTGGCAGAACTAGAAATTAAAGTCCTGCCTTCTTGCCAGGAACCAAAGAAATGCAGTCACCTGACAACACTTTTCAGAAAATGCTTATGAAATTATGACTGACATAAATTCATGCTGAAAAGGATTAGAAAGAAACAAATAACTTTCTTCTCCAAATTCTAACAATACTGCTAAATGTCTGTAGTGCTCATAAAATAATAAGAACCTAAGATTCCTTGTGGTCAAAAAAAAAAAAAAAAAAGTCTTTTGCCCTTCATCCCTACTGAGGCCAGCCTGCAGGTGGTTCTAACCACATCCTGATCTCCCAAGCACTTGCTGAGCAAGGGTATAACCGACTCTGCTTATACCCTGAATCTAGAGAGAACATCAGGATGTGTTACAACACTTCTACCTCAGTCACACCAAGGAATGTTTGCAACTGGGAAACTCTGAGACCCTTTGGAGAAAGAACAAGACTGGGGTGGCCCTCACCTTTAGGAAGTTGGCTATGGTGCTGACATGGTTGGCGCATGCTCCCTTCCGCACGTCATTCACGCCCTCGCCAGTCTGCAATGACATACCCAGTATGACCCTCCTTCTCCAGTTTGTGACCCGAGGCACCCTCCCCCCAAAACCACTTCCCTCCCCTAGGGACTTGGAAATTTCCCAAAAGACCCAGAAAAAAGAAAACTGCAACCCCCAAACAGAGGGACAAGGTGAGCTTTCTCACCTCCAAGCCCAGAGATTCTCTGGGGGAGGGCAGCTGCCAGCTTCCACTGCAGAATTGTTTCCACCTGGGATTCTATTAAAACCCCAACCGTGGCCTTCTCCATACCCTCTGCTCCCTCAGGATGATCTACCCCAAAGAAGAGAAGGTCAACAATGTCCTCTGATTGTGCTACATTTTGTAGGAGTGGTACTGGGCTTGGAGGTTGAATTTTCTAATAACAAGGCTCCAAGTATTCTTTGGACCACAATGAATTAATCCATTATAGGTACCAACTACTGGCTGTCCTGAAGTCAAGTCCTCCTCTGCTCCAATCATGAAAGGCAAAGTAGGAAAGAAGAAAAGAAATTTATCTGGGTCACACCTATATGAGAACTTAAGAGCCCCCAAGTTACACATACCCAGTTGATGAGGACGAACTTGGGCAGACCAGAGTTGGGGTCCTTCACCTTGCAGAAAGCGTACATCACCTTCCCGCTGTTGAGCTCCTCCACCATCTCCTCCAGGCCCCCCTCTGCAGCAGTCACAAGGAGGGTCAGAGGTAGCCTCGGCAGTCCCTTGCTTGCCCAAGCACCTACCCCAACAGGAAATGAAGCCCAAACTGACTCTAAACCAAGATTCTCATCCTTAACAGCATCAGAGTCAGATTCTTAAGCTTATTTTTGAGAGCTTGATGGGGTCCCAAGACCTACATCTGTGACAAGTACCTCATATTGCTTTTTTTTTTTTTACTCATACTAACCTAAAAACCATTCTGTTAAACCCACAGGTAAATCTAGAAAGGAAAATATCATTTCTGCTACAAACCACACACCAGACTGCAAATGGAGGATCACTGTGACAATATTATTATTCACTAAGACCCCACAAAATGGTCTGAAATGGGTCATCAACATGTCTGCTCAGCTTCTGTGGGAGGACTGCAAGCAAACAGGTATGTCCCAAAGTCATATACTGGCTTAGCTTTTAGACTTGGAGATAGGATCAAGGAGGATTTCCCTAAACCATTCTTACCTGACACTGAGGTTGTTAGCCCATCATAACTAGAGTTTGAGGTTCTTATAACCTGCTGACTAAATCTTCCCAGATGGCAAGAAAAAGCTGGATCAGGTATTTCAGTTAAGGGGTTTCACAGAACCCGAGGCAGTCCTGAGTCCCTGTTCTGGCCACATGTATCTGTATGCCACTTGTCACCTTCCTCTCATGACTGCTGAAACACCAACCAACATGGACTAGTGACAGTCACAACTTTCTCCCTTCAAACACTTTACCCTTTTTCTCGTCGCCTGTCTCCTGATGTTCCTGAGAACCCATTTCATTCATTCTATTCTTGCTTGTTCATACTCACCCCCAGTTCCAGCCACACGGATATCATTGCTGTTGCCTTCATAGGTAAAAAGAGCCCTGAAACAAAACACACAGGGGCGTAGTAACTAGCCTTGGATTTCAGCACCTAACCACATTTATGCTGCAGTCCAGAGAACTCAGCATAGTAACACTGCAGGCTGACAGGCGCCCAACTATGACCCACTAGGCAGGATTTCAGTAGGCTAGTGGGTCACCTCTGAAGCATCAACTGGCCTTACTTACCATAGAAGCTTATTGTGAGGGACAAAACCAAGGAGTCAGGGAGCATACATCTACTTTGAGGAAAACTGAGCTGTAAACCTCAGAGCACCTTTCTACGTGTTCATGTGTGAAACAATGACCTGACTACCAAGTATGTGAATTTGAAAAGACAAATGATATTTGTGTGTTCCTAAACTAAAGTACCGAAAAGAGGGGTAAGGAGGAGGAGTATGTGTGTCAGGCACCTAGAAAGCTGCACATATACCCCTGTGCATAGCTATATACTATCTTCTGGGAAGCCTGAAGAGTTGATAGAGCATGTCTCTTGGCTCAGGACTCTGTGGACAACTTGGACTTTTATAGGGTGCATACAGCATCAGCAACCACAAAGGCTATCATTCAATATGAAGTCAGGAACCTCACAGAACAGGCTCCTGGATCTGGCAAGTTTATATTTAGCAGAGTCTTAACTACTCACAGGTGACCCTGGGATGTCATACTATTTTTCTTTGTCAAACCACCCACATAAACTAGAAAGCTTCAACCTTATAAACTTATGATCTGGCAATGTTGAAGAAATATGGTAAATTTTTAAAAATATGGAACATGGGAGGTCCCTTGACCACAGAACAGAGGTTACTCAATAAGAATATTCTGTAAGAGGTGGCTTTCCTGCAGTTTGCATGAATCCTATCCACTGCACCAACTCTATAGCAGTTAAGAGTAGCTCAGCTCCAGAAGGGCTCACAAAGGTCACAGGACCTTTGGTGATAAACAGCCTGACAGAAACCAAATCAGCATCTACTTGGCTACCCAAAGGCCTTCCTAATGTTACTGAACAGCTGCCTATGCCCAAGAAAGACCTAAACCCAGCAGATCTGCCTGTCATGAAGGACAAGCTGCTAGGAAAAAATCACTGCTTCTCAGGAGAGAAGAGAATGTAGAAGAAAGAAGGAAACATTAACAGGAAAACTCAGAGTAGAGGGAAAAGAAGCTTTAAAGGTGGTGGACATCCAGAGACTCTGGTGGCCAGAGTCCTGATGAGTACATATCTCCAGATCACAAAGCTCAGGGATCACAAAGCTCAGAGAGAAGTTGGGGGCACTCAAAAATCAGCAAGAAATATATATGACCTCTCTATCTAGCACTCAGCACCTAGTAAGAGCCAAGTTCCATGTCTCCCACCTGCCCCTCCAACTCTATCCCTCTGTGTCCTCTATACCCTGGTTTCATGAAAATCCTCAGTTCAAAAACAGTACAAAGAGGATGGGGGCACTGAGCACATTAGCTTTGATTCATTACTTCTAAAAGTAGTTCCAGTAACTCTGCTTCTGGTACTGGAAATATAGCTAAAAACAATAGCTTGGCTACCCCATCTGTGGAACTTTCTAAAGGGGAAAAATACACATCAACATGACTGTACTGTCAGTGAAGTGGTTGCAGGTGAACAAATAAACAAATAAACCTCAGGGAGGAGCATGTGGAACCTAGAGAAAGACCCAAGACAGAAATAATGTGGCAACCCAAATAATGTCCCAACCCATCTGGCTCCATGGCCAGGTCCAAATCCACCTCCTCTACCTGTGAAACTTTTTATAACCCTCCAAACTGGAGACCTCTTCTTGCTCTGATATCCTCTACCATCTTTTCTATACCCCTCAATCCATCCTTCATCAGAGCATCTACTACACATTACAGCCCTGCACCGTGAACAGAGAAACAGGGTCCACGTCCACAATTAAGAAAAATGACAAGAAAAACTGAGGCCTCAGTCCAGCAGAAATCACACAGGTTAAAAGGAAAATGTGTCTGCAGCCAAGGAGTTAGAAATCAAAAAAACCTCTCTAAGACATCAACCTCAATACTGAAATGTGAAGTTTGGGGAGATGATACAGGAGAGTACTCCAGGGAGAGGAAGCAGCAAGAGCAAGGTCTCTCAGGAGGAAGTGTCTTGCAACTTTGAGGAAGAGAATGAAGCTAACATGGTAAATAGGTGTGGCCACATGAGGTAAGTGGGAGGGGCAGCAGCACAGCGGGTAAGGAGCCTTGTTAGGTTGGGTAAAGAAGTCTGGGTTTATAGTGGGCAACAGGAAGCCACTACAGAACTATAAGAGAGGAAGTGCATTGGTCTAGACATTTCTTCAGCTAATGAGTGGGAACCTGCCACAAAGCTATCTGTTGAAATACTTAATGGCTATGACAATAGTGGTGGAGGCCAGGTGCTCAAGCTGCTGAGAGCAAAAGGAGCCTGGGGATTGGTGAGGAGAATGGTCAGAAGAGCGGCTGTGAGAGGAAAAAGAAGGCTTAGCACTCTCATTAGGCACAGAGAGGAGATGGGATGGCAGTGGACAGATCTTGCAAAAAGCCCAAAGCAATGCTGAATTGTCTTCAAACTAGGGACAGTCTGGTGAAGACTAAGGATGAAGAGAGACTTGGAAGGACAAATCAGTAGGAGGCCAAGGGATCAGAAGGGATTGCACTTATTAAGAGGCAGTAAGGAGCAAAACCCTAAGTAGAAAGAACCGCAGAGAGAAAAAGATACTTTTGAGTTCTTAAATCTGGTGACCTCATGTGGATGTGAAGATGGAGCACTTGGTGCGAAGATACTTAAAGCAGTGTTTAGAGTAAAATTAGAGGTCTAAGGGCCCTCTGAGACTAGGAGGCAGGGTGGCAGCCTGACATCTAGAAACAGGGATTATAAAGAAGAGAAGGCAGAAAAACTGCTTGTTACCAGACTTCTAATTAGAACAGATGTGTTTCACAGGACCTTCCTTAGCTCTTGCTTAGTCAGCTGCTAAGTCAGCTTTCCTGCAAAATTTTGCACAAGTGCCCATGCAGGGTGCCCACATGTTCCTAGACACAAGAGGAGGAGTCTGCAGACATTCTGCAGACTCAAATAACTGGTATTCTAAAATTTCTCTCCAAAAGGTCCTAGCTGAAGAAAGGGCCAGAATACAATATCCTCAGTGCCACAATAGCACAATGCACAGAAGTACAGGGAACTGGAGAAAGCAGAGATGCCAAAGCAGGCACAAATGTTAAGTGGAAACATGCCAGTCACAGTAGCACAGGAAACGGGATAAGGCTTCCCAAAGCTGTTCAACTCAGTCCACCATGCTCAGCATATTTCTAGAACTGTAAGTTGTGAGCACTGGTAACAAAAAGCAATTTAACCAAATGAGAAAGTGACACAGAATTACCATACACTGCTACCAGTGGATGCAGACAGAACAGAGTGCAGACCATGTGACTGGGCTGCTAGGGGCTATCCCAGAGACCTCAAAGATCCAGAACTCCAGGAATATAGCCTCCTCATCTACATGAGACCGAAATACCGACAGCCTACAGGCAGATGTCAAGGGGCGATAGATGGAAGATGGAATCTTCTCCCAAATAGGTAGGCAGCATCTTGTTTCATTCATTTCCCCATAGCTCTCCGGGGAGTGTTCTTGCAGAAAGGCAAGTTCTAAAATTCTTATTACAGAGAAACAAGGATACAAAGCCCTGAGTTCCTTGTTTGGCTCCAGCCAAGCTGCCAGACCGCTCTCAAAAGACCGGTTCCAGAACACAGTATTTGTGAGAAGCGGACTACGGCTTCCGCTTTCTCACGGAGGGTTGTGCAAGAGCTCTTGGTCCGGGGAAGACTCAGACCCAGAAAGGTGAAACTGGAGAAGTCATCAGACACGGAATAAGGGGAGGCCTCGGGAGCCAGGGCCAGAGACCAGCGGCCCCCAGCCGGATTTACCCAACCCACACAAGGAGGGGTAAGGAATTACCAGGGAGGAGACATCACCTCCCTGCACTGCAGGTGAGCAAAGGACACCTACGGCAGCCATCTCCGCAGCCCTCAACCTCCCCAGCCCTGGTCCGCCCTGCGGCCCGCCTCGGCGCTCACCAGTCTGTCGGGGACTTCTCAGTGACCACCCGCACGTAGGCTTCCTGCAGGGCCGGCCCGTTCCGGCTCAGGTTCACAGCCATGGCTCCCGGCCCAGTTCAGCCGCTGCCGCCTCAGCCGCTTCCGAGGAGGCTGCGCACACGGGCAGAAGCTCCGCCCCTGGAGACCGGAAACCCGGTAGCGAAACCGGAAGCGACGCGATGGGGCAGGGGTGGGCTTGCCCTCCTCCAGAGCCTAAGAAAAAGGGCTGTTGTGCGGTAGCCGGAAACCGCCCTGCTCTAGGGGGGTGGGGGGGGGTGATTTACAGCGTTCAGTAGCTCTTTCTGTGCTCCGCCCCACCCCTTCCTGCCCCAGCCTGTGGTAGGACTTGTGCGCCATTAAGAGGAATCCAACGCAGCCGGTTAGCTGCTTATAGAGCACTATGTATTTGTATTATATATTTTTTTCATGTGGTGCCCTTATTTGAGAATTTTGAATTCACACAGTACTCCTCCAATGGGGTCCTTGTGAGTGTGTGTGTATCCGTCCACTCAACAGAAACTTGCCATGTGTGTGTTTTATATGATTAAAATGAAAGCCGTAGCGTAAAAATAAACTTTAAGTGGTACCCACACCAGGACAAATTTAACTGCAATTACTGTTGTGCCTCCGTGATCTCTCCTATGTGAGCATATTGTAAAATGTTCTGCCAACACTATAGGTGTCTTCCCACAAACAAGAGAACAAAACTATCTATGCAGACTTAAAGTCAGTGAAACAGTTATACAAAAATTTGCTGCCTGCTGATAAACCAGCCTTTCAAACCTCACTAATGAGCAAGAAACCAGATAAATAAGATAAGCAATGGTACCCAGTTTTTACATGTCAGGAGTGTTACTGAATGTGGTAAAACTGTCAGGAGTGTTACTGAATGTGGTCTTGTTTCCCTTAGCCAATAAAAGGAGCCAGAGCTAGAGGAGAAGGAAAGTAATTTAATTTGCCAACGAACTGAGGAGGACAGCAGACTCTTGCCCAGCTCTTTGGCAGCGTGCGGGGCATTTTATTCAAAGAAGTAAAAAGGGGGGATGGGCATGTTCTTTGCTGTAGGCAAAGATTTCTACAGACATTTGGGCATGCACCAGTTCCCCTGACTTGGAACCCCAGTAGTACACTGAATGCTGATCATCAGCCCCAAGCCAGGAGGCCAAGGGAGAGAGAGCCTCAGCTCAACATGGCTCGGCTCATACACACACACACACACACACACACACACATATTTGTTCATATATTTTGTGACAATGATTGCTTAGCTCCGCCCTTGGGTTCTTGAGTCCTCCCTTTGGTATTGCTGGGAGTTGTTTCCGTGACTGAAGTAGAGGGTGGAATCCACAAAACCAGTATCTGCAGAGTTCCTCCAGGACATCCTTTCCCCTAACACTAGGACCCAACAGCGGAGTTAAGCTGCCATTTTGGGTTTTTGTATAGAAGAACAACATGTTGGGCTGAGGCTTTCTCTCTCTTGGCCTCGTGGCTGGTGGTTGGTCACTTGGCTCTTCATCAGCTTTCAGTATGCTATTTTAGGGTTCTAGATCAGCAGTACTGGTAGGGTGCATTAGTTAATTTGTATCTCCCTCTCTTTCACTGGGTTGTTCCTTTCCTTTTTTCACTTGTAAATAAACCCATTGTTGACCTTTCTGTGTGTGTCTGCAGTGCAGTTGAATCTTAAGTGCATGGGTGAGGACCCACAGACAGGCAACCCAATTCATGTTGGGTTGCTTGTAACAGTTTGGTGCCCAATGTGGTTAATCAAGTTATACATGTGGTTGACCAGTCCAAAGTACCTTGCATTGATCACTGTAAACGCATTAGATCTGCAGGGCACGTGGCATCTTTGTTTTAGGTCTTGAGAATTTTTTTTTTTTTTGTATTCAGCAACATGAGTTTAAGCAGCTTTATCCCTAGCCTGGGTTCATTCAGTTTTCTTTTGGCCTTAAGTTTAAGTACACTTTTTCCTTTAAATATTACCACCAGTTTTATTAACAAATAATTTTGTTAAACCTGGCTTATGGTAAATGATTTTGCTTTTGTACCCATCCATGAATGATTTACCAGTCATCCCTGTGCTTCTGTGTTTCTTTTTGATACTTTGTATAGTATCATTTGTTACATTTTTTACTCTGAGAGGTAGATGCTTCACCTACTGAGGACATGCAACAGCAAATACAGACCCTTAATTCAGCTATTCACAGTATGAAAAATGAGAATCATATTGCTTTTGACTCTATTTATCAAATTATGCAAACCCAGATACAAGATGGCCTTCATAAATTAGATTTGGCCTAGGCTTGAATTATGGCACAGTGAATGGGTAAGCCTTTCCTGAGGGCATCAGGAGGACAGAGTTAGAAGAGGAGGATTATCATTTACTTAACACCTTAAACCCTTCATGACAAAATCCTTCTCTGTATCACAAAGCCCTTCCTGTGGAAACTCCTAACGCTCCTATGGAAATTCCTAAGGCTCCTGTAGACACTCCTAAGGCTCCTGTAGACACTCCTAAGGCTCCTGTGGAAACTTGTAAGGCTTCACAGCCTCCACTGCCCTCTGGAGAAGAAACTAACATGACTTCTCCTTCCCATACTAGAAGGGGCACCCACTTTGACAATAAGAATTGCCTTGATGTGGGGCAGTTCCCTCTTCGATGCTGGTGGGACACCTGTTGGGTACTTTTGGTTACATCATCCTTTTAGTACTGCAGACCTCCTAAATTGGAGGAGCTCTGTCCCTTCTAGACAGGATCCTAAGAAGATGGCAAACTTGTTTACCTCTATCTTCTATCACCATCCCAACTGGGCAGATATCCAGTCAAAGCTGCAAACTCTTTTGAATTTGGATGAACAGAAGGTGGTTTTCAAGAAAACCAGGAAGGAAGCTGATTGTCTTCACCTACAGGATGTAGAATCTCCAAAACCAAAAGTGGCTGTCCCAGTGGTAGATCCCAACTGGGATCCCAACAAAGGGGGAATGGCAATGTTGGAGCTCTATAAAAGTGTTTATTGGTAGGGCTGCAGCAGGAGATTCCTAAACAAAAGAATTTCAGTAAAGTTCTGCAGCTTAAACAGAGAGATAATGAGGATCCATCAGAATTCCTTGAGTGGATTATCCAGACATATACCACTCACATGGATATATAAATCCAGAGCCCCAGAAAATGCTCATCTGTGCATGATGGCATTCTTCATGCATAGCACCCAGACATCAGGAAAAAGTTAGCAAAATTTCGTAGATTTGTTGTTTAGAGTTTATAATTACACAGAAGAAAGGATCAAAACTGAAACTGTTTTTGTACAAAGGGAATATAGAACAGAATTCAGGGAAACAGTAACAGAATGGCAGGTGGACCCAGGAGATGTGAACCCCTAGAAAGTGTGCTTACTGCAGGGAAGAGGGACATTGGAAGTACAACTGTCCCAGATTACAGGCAAACAGGAGACGAAATGATGATAAGAGGCAAGAAAGAAGGCCGGAGGCACCTCAACATGATGATTCATGCAGAGGTTGCAGGAGGGAATGTAGATGGAGTGCAAGGGATCCAGAACTGAGGAAGGAAAATAGGAGGCAAATGATGGCTTAGAGAAGAGGTTTGGGTGAAGATAGGAGGGAATACTGACAGGATAGAAGAGACCAAGAGATGGCTACAGAGAAAAGAAGACAAGTAATAGTTCACAGGAGACATACACATGAAGAACAGGGGGGCTCAGGGGCTCTACTAGATCTAAAAAGGTCCATTAAAAGAACCCCTTGCAGAAAACTTCAGACAAATCTCCCTAATGAATACCGATGCAAAAATC